CATATCATTGCCAACATTTGCTATCTCTTGTATTTTGATCATAGTCATTCTAGCAGGTGTGAGGTGATACCTCATTGTGGTTTTGATCTGTATTCCCCTGATGACTAGTGATGTTGAGCATTTTTTCAGGTACTTGTTGGGTATTTGAATATATTTTTTTGAAACACTGTCTGGTCTGGACATCTGCTCATTTTAAAAATTGAGTTGTCATTTTGCTAGTGAGTTGTAATGAGTTCCTCGTGTATTTTGGATACTGATTCCTTATCTGATACTTGGTTTGCAAATATTTCCTTCCATTCCATAGGATGCTTCTTCATTTTGTTGATAATTTCTTTTGCTTTGCAGAGGACCCTCTTCTTTTAAACACACCACCAATAGCCTCATGTATCACTCACACTTACAGCCCATTAGCTAGAACCTAGGGAATTGGCCTTGCCCACGTGCAAGGAAGGCTGAGACATACAGCCTTTACCCTGGGTGCCCTGCTGAATACCAGATGTTCCACTGCTATGGAAGAAGACAGAGTAGACACTGGGTAGAAATTGTAGTCTCTGTTTCACTCCCTCACTGCCTGTGGTATTTGGGCAAGAATTTTCTGCTGAATATGCTTATTCTTGACATTAATATAACACCATCTTTGTGCAGATTATTTTGCTTAACCTCTCAGCAGCATCTGACACCGTTTTCCATGAGCTTCTTCCTGAAACAATCTATGCTTCCTGTGCCTTCCATGGCATGACGCTGTGCAGATTTTCCTCCAACCTCTCTAGCTGTGATCAATTTTTGTTGTTGCTGTTGCCTACTCTTTCTCTTTCTGTCCCTTAGTGTTCCTGTGAGTTCTGTCCTGGAGCCACTTCACTCCCAACTTACCCATTCTTCTCACTGTCACACAGGGTGAAAAGAGGTACAGCACACAGTCATGGAATCTTTACTATATGCTAAGAACTCTAAGCACTTTATACACAGAACTTCACTCAATCCTACCAACAACCACAAAGGTAGGTACCATAGTTATTCCCTGGTTTTACATGGAGGTTGATGTGATTTGTCCCCAGCTGGGTAGGGCCTGGTTTGGATTTTACTCCAGGACATCTGATGCCACAGTTTTTTAGCTTACCATTAACATCACCCTTACACTCCTTGTCCCCCCACACAAAAGAAAGACAAACAAACAATAACAACAAAAAACCCTACATTCGATCCCATGGATGTACTCAGTTGCTTACTAGACATCTCTGTTTGGCTATCTCATAAGCATTTCAAACTCAAGATGCCCCAGAGTAAACTCATAGTTCTTTCAGCAATTATTTATTGAGCACTTACTATATGCAAGGCACTGCTCTAGGTGCTAAATCTACCAAAGTGACATAAAAGGACAATATCTAACTTCAGGAAATTTACTGTCTAGTTGGGAAGACACACAGTAAAATAAATAGCATCAGTCTGTGATCAGCATTATAAGGAAAAATTAAGCTGGATACACAGAGAAATGTAGAGAGGACCATGTGGTAGATAGGATAATGGGTCCAAAAAGAGGTCAACCTGACCCACTGATTCCTGGAATCTGCAAATACATTGCATTTCATAGGGGAGAAAGGAAAGTTTGTAGATGTGATTAAGCTTAAGGACCTTGAGATGTGGAAATAATCCAGTATTACATAGATGGACCCAATAAAATCACATGGGCCGTTAAAAGAAAAAGAGGAAGGCAGAGGGTGAGTCTGAGAGACACTACAAGGACAACAGAAGAAGAAGCAGAAGAGATTCAACACATGGGAGAGATTCCAACTAGCTTTCTAGATGGAGGAAGAGGTCATGAGTCAAGAAATATATTAAACTATAAAAGCTAGGATGGGCCCTGAGTTTATAGCCAGCAAGAAAATGGGGATGTCAGTCCTACAACCACAAGAAACTAAATTCTGCCAACAACCTGAATTTGTAGAAAACAGATCCTCCCCAGAGTATCCAGAAAGCACAGCCTTGCCAACACCTTGATACTAGCCTAGCAATATCTGTGCTAGACTTCTGTACAAAAGCATAAGTTAACAGATTTTAATTGTTTTAAGCTACTAAATTCTTGTAATTTTTTAAGCCGCAAAAGAAAGTAGGGTGGCTGGACCTGGAGAAATATGTGTGGAAAGAGCTTCCTGAGTTAAAAGGAATGACCCTGAAGTGACAGGAGCTTGGAATGTAAGAGAACAGCAAGGAGGCCCATGTGGCTGGAGTGAGGGGAGAGCAATAGAAGCTGAGATGGCAGGAGAGGCCAGAGGCCAGCCATGTGAAGCTCTGCAGGTCATGGAGCTTTAGATTTTATTCTAAGCATGATGGGAAGACACTTTGGCCTGGCTTATACTTTAACAAGTCCTCTGTGGGTGTTGTAATGAGAGTAGACTGAATGGGGTGAGAGAGGAAGCAAGAAAATCCACTTAGGAGGCCATTTCTATTGTCATCCAGTAATCTAAATAAGAGAAGAAGATAGCCTGGACTAGAGTGGAAGAGGTGGAACAATGAGAAGTGGTCCCAGAGAGGAAATATTAGAATCTACTGTAATTTCTGATGGCTTGGAAGTATGGTGGAACAAAGATAAATCATATGAACAATTGAGCACATGGTAGTACCAGTTACTGAGATGGGGGGGAAATTATAGTTAAAGAAGGTTGGGGGCGGGGGATCAGGAGTTTGGTTTTGGACATGTTAAGCTTTGGATGCCAATTAGCCATCCCAGTCAAGATGTTAACTTCAGGGACAGTTTGGGCTAGAAGCATGTGGTAGACAGAATAGTGCACCCCCAAGATGTTGATGTCCTAATCCTCAGAATCTGTATGTTATGTTACATGGCAAAGGAGAATTTAAAAAGGAAACCAGCTGACCTTAAAATAAAGAGATATCCTGGATTATCTGGTTGGGCCACAGCAATCAAAAGTGATCTTAACTGGGGAAGAGGGAAGCAGAGGAGTCAGAACCAAAGAGATGGCATCATGAAATGGATTCAGCTGGCTGTACTGGTTTTGTAGATGGTAGAAGAGTCCACAAGACAACCTCTAGGGGGCAACCTCTAGAAGCTGGAAAAGAAAAGAAAAAAGATTTCTCCTCATAGCCTCCAGAATGGAACAGAACCCTGCCAACACCTTGATTTTAGCCCAATGAGAGTCATTTCAGACTTCTGACCCACAGAGCTGTGAGATAATAAATCTGTGTTGTTTTTAAGTCACCAGCTTTGTGGTAATTTATTAGAGCGGCAATAGGAAACTAATACAAGTCATAATGTCACTGAAGCATGTTTTTTCTTCAGTGGAACACCTTGGTAAATGGCATAAACATGACCTATTTGTTCAAGGCAGAAATATGTGCCATGCTTAATTTCTTCTCTTTCTTGTTCCCAATCCAGTCAATATCCAATCCTCCAGATCCTACTTACTAAATATTTATTCAAAGTAACCCACTGTACTGTTTATCATCATTTCCCTTTGAGATGGAAGAAGACAATACATCCCCAACATTCTCTATTTAGCAGCCAGAGTAAGCCTTCTAAACAGAATATTTCTGGTAATTATTCCTCTCTCCGGAAACTCTTCAGTGAGTTGCTGTTTCACTCAGAATAAAGCCCAAATTCCTTGGCCTGTCTTACAAGATCCTCCAAGGTTTGCCTTTGTCTTCATCGTTATTTCCTGACACTTCTCCTCACCCTAACTTCAGACCCTGGATAGCACCTGGAGCCCTCCTCCCTTCAGGTGTGGGCAGTGGCCTTCCTTGTCCCATGACCTCCTCATAGAAACACTCCAATGTTCAGCAACTTCTCCCATTCACCATCAGGGCCCAACTTATTCTCTTTAGAGTGTCCCTGATCTCCTAAATTGTTAGCATATTAATATTAGGGCCTTAAACTTTTCCTTCAAGACACTTCAAATTAATTAGTGTTCTTGACAGCAGGGCTTTTGGCTGACTTGTTCACCACTCTTATCTCCATTTCTAGCAGCCAGCTCATAGTAGATGCTCAGGAAGCATTTGTTACATGATAACTGCTCACTAAGGAGCTGTAAAAGCCCTCTTTAAGATTTCTATAATGGTTCCTATGGCATTTTTAGTAACCATTCCCTATAAAGTCTTTACTAAAGGAGTGTTCAGATACTTTTTAAAAAGCAATAATTTTGTGTCTATGACCCTTTTCCACATTATTGACTTTTTTGTCCCATTTCAAAATGGGCAAACAGAGATAAGTGGAAAGACGGCTTTAATTTTTCTTACATTCATGTCAATCAACATGAATTTAGTAAGCACTGTCTATGTGCCTGTCACTAAGCGTGGAGTGAATAAAATAGGCATAGTATCTGTTTTTATGGAGCTTGCCTACTAGTGTGTGTATAAAATGAGAAGTCAGAAAGTAGGGAACCGAAAATTTTATAAACGTAGTAATAAGAGCCAAATTCAGGAAGGGGAGTGTTAATTTTATGCTTGGGGTGATCGGGAAAGCTTCTCGAATAAACCCAGATTTGAGCAGAGGCCAACAGCAATTCGGTATCTCTATCAGGTCACCGTGAAGCAAGCAAGATCTGGAATCCTGTTTTCTAAATTTAAATCGCATGTTACCAGTTGCAAGTTGTCTGCGACTAAACAAGTCAAACTAGCCCCTCCGGGCCTTCCTCCTACTTGTAAAAGGACAAAAATACTACAGACCTCGTGGGCGTATTAAGAGAACAAGCTCAGCAGAGAAACAAACACAAAAAGAGTTCCAACTAAATTCTAACCGAGGGCTGAGAACTTGGGAAACGAACTCCGGGTTAGCCTACCGGCCTCCCACCACCACCACCAACCCCGCCCCTGGCCTCAGTGCAGATAATGATTGGCTACTCAACCCGTCCGTCCCGCCCCGTCCGGTCCAATCCCGGCCGGCTCTGCTCCGCAACTGTTCCCAGGGTACGCCGAGTGGGTGGTGCCCATGACGTTTGATGACGCGATACGTCACGGTGGGCGGAAGTCACGGCCGCTGTTTTGAAATCAAGCCGCCTGAGTCTTAACAAGTTCCTACCCACGCGGAGCCGGCAACATCCCGACATCTAGGGACCCCGGAGGCCTCTTGTCAGGCCCCGCCGGCCTGAGGCCGCAGCCGCGCCATGTCCACCCCTCCGTTGGCTGCGTCGGGGATGGCGCCGGGGCCCTTCGCCGGGGCCCAGGCTCAGCAGGCCGCGCGGGAGGTGAACACGGCCTCGCTCTGCCGGATCGGGCAGGAGACGGTCCAGGACATCGTGTACCGCACCATGGAGATCTTCCAGCTGCTGAGGAACATGCAGGTGGGGAGCGCCGCGCCGCCCGGGCGTGCGTGGAGACGCGGTGCGGCCGCCAGGCAAAGGGGCGCTGCTGTAGACGCTCCGTGGGGCCCCTGGCGCCCCACCTCAAGTGTTGGGTCGCCCCGTTTACACTCAGCGGTGTTCCTCAGTGACGTGTCCGTCCCCAAGGCCCCGCCACGTGCAGGGGATGTTTTCCAGGACAGAGTTCTGGACGATGGAGGCCCGCGTTCTCGATGCGCGCGGTTCTCTGGGTCCTAGGCAGACTCGCACCTTCCGGGGTCAAGTCGCTGCACTCCGCTGCCCTGTTTTAATTACTTTAACTTTCATCTCATCTTTTCCTAGCAAAACACTTTCTGACGGTCAAAGGAGTTGACTTCGGATTCTGCTAACCATAGCTCTGTTTTGGTATAATGGACATACAATAAAATGCGTTCCTAAAAAGTTCTGACGTATATATATATGTACTCGTGAAACCATCATCCGTCACCGCAAGAGTTTCTCATGCCCCTTTGAAATCTTGACGTCTGGCCTTCCATCCGCAGACAGCCTCGCATTTGCTTACAGGCACCGTCAACTTTCTAGAGTTTTGTGTAAATGCAGTCATTCACTCTGTAGTTATTTTTGTCTGGCCCCTTCCACTCATCATGTATGAGTGGTTTGTTCCTTTTGATTGCTGGCTAATGTTCCATTGTACGAATATATCACAATTTGTGTATATGTTGATGCACATTTGAGTTATTTCCACTTTGGAGTCGTTATGAAAATACTTCCATAAGTGTTCTGTGAACATGTGTTTCATTTCTCTTGAGTAGGCAGATGCGTAGCAGTGGAATTGCTGGATCAAAAATTAAATGTTGAACATTTTAAGAAACTTTTCCGAAGTTCTGCACCATTTTAATTCCCATCAGCAGTGTTTGAGGGGTCCAGCTACTCCTCATCCTGGTCAGCACTTGTTATTGTGTCTTTCTGTTTTGCAACTACTTTCTGGAAGTCTGTGACATGTCTTTTCATTCTCTTCACATTGCCTTTAAAGAACAGACGTTTTAAATTTTGTTGGGATCCAATTTATTAATTTGTTCTTTTAGACTGCTTTGGGTGTCTTACCTAAGAAACTTTTGTCTAACTGAAAGTGACAAAGATTTTTCTCTTCTGGAAGTGTTATAGTTTTAGGTTTTACATTTAAGTCTATGATCCCCATTGAGTTACTTTATTAAAAAAATATGTTTATGTCTATGATCCACACTGAGTTACTTTACTTAAAAAAATATGTTTTTATTGATTTCAGGGAGAGAGAGATAGAAACGATGAGACAGAAATATTGATTGGCTGCCTCTTACACGCCTGGTACTAGTGATCGAGCCTAAAACCTGGGCACGTGCCCTTACCAGAATGGAATCAGCAACCTGTTGGTGCATAGGATGACGCTCAGCTAACTGAGCCACACAGGCTGGGCTGAGTTAATTTTTTTATATAATGATAGGTATGGATCTGAGTGCACTTTTTTGCATTTTGATACCCAGTTGTTCCAACAACGTTTTGCTAACCCATTATTTTTTATTGAATTTATTGGGGTGACATTGGTTAATAAAATTATGTAGATTTCAGGTTACAATGATACATCATCTGTATATTGTATTGTGTGTTCACCACCCTAAGTGAAGTCTTCCATCACCATTTATCCCCCCATATCCTCTTCTATCTCTCCCCACTCACCTCTCCCTCTGGTGATCACCATACTTGCTAACCCATTTTTATTTTTTAATCCTCACTCAAGGATATTTTTCCATTTATCTTCAGGTAGAGTGGGAGAGAGAGAAACACGAATGTGAGAGGGACACATCAACTGGTTGCCTCCCGCACGACCCCAACCAGGGCTGGGACGAACCCTTGACTGGAATCGAACCCGATTCCCTTTCCTTCCCTTCCTTTCCCTTCCTTTCCCCTCCCCTCCCCTTCCCTCCCCTCCCCTCCCCTTCCCTCCCCTTCCCTTCCCTTCCCTTCCCTTCCCTTCCCTTCCTTTCCCCTTCCCTTCCCCTTCCCTTCCCTTCCCCTTCCCTTCCCTTCCCTCCCCTTCCCCTTCCCTCCCCTTCCCTTCCCCTTCCCCTCCTTTCCCCTTCCCCTTCCCCTTCCCTTCCCTTCCCCTTCCCTTCCCTTCCCTCCCCTTCCGTCCCCTTCCCCTCCCCTCCCCTCCCTTCCCTTCCCTTCCCTTCCCTTCCCTTCCCCTCCCCTCCCCTTCCCCACCCTTCCCTTTCACTTTGGTCCAACGGCCCACACTCTAACCACTGATCCAAACCGGCCAGGGCACTAACCTATTTTTAATGCTTGCTAATCTTATAACTATGTGATGTGGTTATTCTGGTTTTATGGATGAGGGTTCTGTGATTCAGAGAGGTAAAGTGACTTGCCCAAAGTTGGATAAATTCGAAACCAGGTCTTCAGACTCTTATAATTTTTATTTTTATGGGTCCACTAAAGAGTGGTTTATTGCCTTTTTTTTCCTTTTTTTTTTTTTTTTTTTAAGTTCTTGAGATTTTTTTCTACTGATTTTAAAAGTAAGTCAGTTGTGTAGAAATCTTTTAAGATCATGTCAGTAAGCCAGTGTGAAACAACACAAAGGGAATCTAAGAGAAGATAGGAAATCTTTGGCAATTACTTTAAAAATTAATATATTACTATCTAAAATGATTAAATGATCTCTTAGGATCTAGCAAATATAGTCGACCCTTGAACAATGCGGGAGTTGATGGGTGCCAGCCATCGGCACAGTCAAATATATACATTTTATTTTTGGTCACAGTTTTATATACTAGAGAGAAGTGCATAATGAGAACAATAATTCCCATAATAGACCAACTTCTGGGCTAAAAATTCAGCAGTCAGTCCTCCATATACGTGCATTCCCACCTACAAATCGAAAATGTCTGTCTTTATTTTTAATATGTGTATGCAAAGTATTGAATTAGGACTGGAGAACTAATAGCTAATTTTTATCAAGTACTTTCCTTGGCCAGGTACACTATTATAATAGCAGTTCTAAGGAGTATTTTTATCTCTATTTTATAGTTAAGGAAACTGAGGCTCAAAGAGAGAAGAACTGACCCAAAATCACACATCACTAGTAGCTCTTCCTGTTAACCTCTTTATAGTACTAACTTGTGTCAAACACTTTTTAGTATTAAAAGAGATATAATACACATTCATGGCCAACATAGGAAAAAAACTAAAAATTTTCAAAAAAGTATCAATAACCAGATTACAAGTGGACATATTCTTTGCATTTCAAAATAATTTTGTTTTTCCTTAGTGAAAAAAATTTCTTAGGAGTTCTTTTTACATGACGCATACTTAAGTGATGTTTAAGTATAGATTTATTGGGAAAATAATCATTAAGGCAAAATAATTCAGACTGTACTTTAAAACCTTCCATTTGTCAGTACTAAACACAATGATACAAATGTGAATAAGTTCCGGTCTTCACTAAGTTGAAAATATGGGCAAAGTAGTAAATCTAGTAAATGGCCATAATAAAGGTACATCGTACATAGTTTTGTCACTTTAATCCCCAAGATTAGTATAAGGGTAAGTGCTTATAATGGAAGCAGCTTGTATACTAGAAAATGGGGTGTAAATGTTGTTAATTCTAATGTTAGAATGATTTCACAGATGAGATCACAGGAATAAAATGTAAAGATGTACAGAGAAAGGAAGATTTTGTTCATGAGTTTCAGGAAGGCACAAAAGGTGCATGTTATAAGTTCTAAATAAATGATCAATTTCCATTTATCTGTGATTTTGTAATTTCATTACATATAGACATTTGGCTTCTTTGGATAAAATTTCTGAATTAAAAATGCATAAGCATCCAAGACGGTTATGATCATTTTAGTTACCTATAATAATTTATTAATGATGTTCAAATTCAGATCTATTTGTACCTATATCTCCTCCTATATATTCTTTTTACAGTAAAAATTTTGGTGACAGCTTAATATTTTAGTGTGTGCCTTGTGTGTCTCAATGATCAGAGTTAAGGTACCCTGAGATTATTTTGCAATAGGAGCAGCATATTACTACTTTTCTTCTGCTGAAAAGTCCCGTCTTCATTTATTTGTTTTATTCTTTTATAAACTTTGTATTTTATTTTTAACTTCCTAATTGAGTTTAGCTGCTTGTTGCCTTTATGTGACAGTAATATTAAAATTGCACATTTTAAAGTTATAATATACTTTAAAAATTAGAGGAGAAAAAGTATTTCACTTGGTTAGAGGCGCTTTTCAGAGTTTTTTCTAGATCTGTTTTACAGCACAGAAACAGGATGCCAAGGAGCCAAGAAATGAGTACGGATTACTCTTAAATTCTTAAAATTGCATTTAATTAACTGTGAAGAGCTATTTGCCTTTTTGCTGTACTTAAAAATGGTTTGCCAGCTTTACTTATAGAAAATATGATTTTCACTACTTAAATTTTTGTTGTTTTGTTTTGCCTGATAAGCTCCCAAATGGTGTCACGTACCATACTGGAACATATCAAGATCGGCTAGCAAAGCTCCAGGATCACCTTCGCCAGCTCTCTATTCTCTTCCGGAAGCTGAGACTGGTCTATGACAAATGCAATGAAAACTGTGGCGGGATGGACCCCATTCCAGTAGAGGCAAGTTTTCATGGTAGAGGGAGGATGAATGTAAGATGTAAGATAGTTTCAGGCATTTGTAATTTTTTTCCCTTCTCTCTTTCTCCTATTTTTGCAATATTTCCAAATTTTGAATTATATCAGTTTTACTTTTGACTAGAGAAGATGAAAATATGATATGAATATATAGAGAGAATATGTATGTATAGAATTAATACTATATTTTCATGTTAATTTTTTGTAGACTAACATACAGGCTTATTAGTGAAGTTTGGTTGTCAGGATGAGAGCATTGTCTGTGGCAGTTTTTATCATTGTTGTGTCTCCTTTTAATTAAATCAGTGTGTGGTTTTATTTAGTAGAAGTTTTAAAAGTATTGTCAAATACTTTTTAGTTTTCATGTAAATTCTTTATGGATGAAGGTTATGTTTTTATCATTAATAATTTAGATTAGCTTAGTGACTCACTTCAGTTTTAAAATGTGTTCTGTAAATTTAACCTTGGATCATAGACATATTTTAGTTAATTAGGTATATGATACTGTTATAGATGGCCCTTTCCTGTTGACAAGTTATATTTCTGTCGTCAAAGGTAGCTGGGAAGATTTGAATGGTCTCTCACTACATATAAAGAACAATGTCATGTGATCAGCGCTTTCTTTTTGAGTGGTCAGCATGTAGGGATGAGCAGAGAAAGTAAACTCAAAACAGCCTGAAAAGAAGTGGTCAGAGATGTTGGAGAAACATCAGAAAAGTGGTTAATAAATTGTCAGAGGCTGCAGAGAAGTCAAGGAAAATAAGGACTGAAAACTGTCCCGTAGATTTTGCTGGAGGAGAAATGTCAGTATATTTGAGCAGAGCTTCAGTGAAATGATAGCAACAAGAAGTCAGATCACAATGGGCTGAAGATTGAACAGGAAATAAGGAACTGGAGCCAGCAAGTGGATATCATCTTTCAGAGAAGCTTAGGTAAAAAGCTTCCCTTAGGAGAGATCAGAACATGTTAAGATGATAAAGGAAGAAACGGTAGGGAAAAGGTGGGAGGCGGACAAATAATAAATACAGGAGGCAGAGGAGTCAGAGTGCAGGAATGGAGACCAATTGTCTGCAGGCAGAAGGACAAGTCTGCATGGGCAGAGGGGAGGGAAGGAAGAAAGAGTGGGTGTGGGTAAGTTTTTCTTGTCCCAGGAACTGGAAGACATTTAGTCAGATGACTCCTGGTTGTACCAATTATTTACCTGGGGCCTGTGCCTACATTGGTAATAATATAAAACAGTTGAGACTATCTGATTCTTGAAGCCTGTCACATCTCCACAGGGCTTCATCAAATAAACTTCATCACAAACCATACATATTTAATTATCATTCTGCTAGAAGTTTCATTGCTATATACATTTTTTCTCCTACAAAAAATCCTCACATTCTTCCAATCAAAAGAAGTTAAGACATCTAAGGAGTTTGCATGGATACTTAGGTTCTAGATAGCAAGTAAAAGACATTTATATAATGCACATCCATGAAGTTGCTTTCTTTCCAGTATGGATGAAAGAAAGCCTGTTCTATCTCAATGGACTATGAATTTCTTAGTTGTGGGAATCACAACTTATTTGTCATTATTTGTGCAGTGTCTCATCCACTGTCTGGCAATTTAATATTTGCTGATATTGAATGAGTAGGCTATTATTACTTAACTATAAGTCACAACTAGTATTATAATGGCTGTTACACAAACTAACTGAAAACTAATATACAGAATGCACAGAAATGATCAATTTATCACGCTGTTATTTTAGACCATCACCTAAATTAAAATGTATTTTTATACTATTAAAAGTATAAAAATTGCCGTGGCTGGTTTTGCTCAGTGGTTAGAGCATTGGCCCACAGACCAAAGAGTCATGGGTTCGATTCCGGTCAAGGTCATGTACCTCAGTTGTGGTTTGGTCCCAGCCCTGGTCAGGGTCATTCAGGAGGCAACCAATCGATATGTCCCTCTCACATAAATGTTTTTCTCTCCCCCTCCCACTCTGTCTGAAGATAAATGGAAAAATTCCTGGGTGAGGATTTAAAAAACAAAAGGATAAAAATTGACCTTACTCTGACTCATTATCTATACTAGTGTAAACGGAAATTTTGTGTCGTATTTTTTACTTTCATCTTTTTGTTTGTCACTTCAAGCAACTTATCCCATACGTGGAAGAAGATGGCTCAAAGAATGATGATCGGGCTGGCCCACCTCGTTTTGCTAGTGAAGAGAGGCGAGAAATTGCTGAAGTAAATAAAGTGAGTGATTAGTCTATATATTTTATATTTTGGAATTAATGAAAATTTTACAGGGGAGTCTAATGTAACTGAAAAACATAATTTGAATTATAGAATTATATGAAACAGTTTCTGTGGCAAATTTAACTCGGTACAACCAAGAACTAAAAGGTAAGCAGAAATGTCATCTGAATACTCAGAAGAGAGATCACAGAATTCATGCAGTAAAGCTCTTAGAAAAGCTTCATAGGCACTCAGTCACAGCCCATTTACCTTTTCTTTTCTAGGCAGAATTCTAGCTTTCTAGTTTATAGCATATTTGGAGCAACACGATAAAAATTTACAAATAGGAGATGTGAATGTCTCAACGCCCGAATAAGACTGAATTATCGAAGCATTACTCTACCCTACTCCCCCCTGCCAAAAAAAAGTTCTGGACTTGGATGTATATATTTATTGCTGATACTTTCAGAAGTTCAGAAGATGTTCAGATAGTTCTCATGAAATACAGAGAAGCAGGGAAAGTTGTTACTTCTTTCTGTGGTAGAAACATGGCCCACACTTACCAAAACCTAACCAATCGCACAATAGCTAGAACTATCAGTTTCACATTTTCATGAACACGTCCCCTCATCCTGCTCCTGAAATGTTAATTCCAGTTAATAGAATTCAGGAGGGCATTAACAATCCACCACAAAGAGGATTTTCTGAGGCATATGTGGATATATAAAACATGTAATATCAGTAGATTAAATTGGAAAACAAATTTTTTTTGCAAATCTAAAACATTTGATAAAATTCAAATATTGCTTATTTAAAGAAGATTTAAAACTATTAAGATAGTATCTTTTTTTAGTCTTTTTACCTGTGAAAAATAGCCAATATTTTTCATACTTTTTTCAGGCACAAAATAGATGCCTTACCCGACTATATTTAATACTCTTTTAAAAGTTACAGACAGTACAAAAATAAAAAAAAATTTTAGGAAACGGGTTATAATATGTATAAGCTTATTAAGTTTGTTAAGCTTGTATGTATATTATAGCTCAAGCTTGTCAAGTGCAAAGAAACTCAGTTGATAACTACAGTCAATAATTTTGATTAAAAGGCTTAATATAAGATGATGCCATTCTCTTATAATTATTAAACCAATTATGCTATAAGATCCTGTTCATATTTGCAACAATAAGTATTAAGTAGTTAGGATTTATCTCAATGATATATGTGATTAAACTTATTAAGATACATAAAGGAAGTTTTGAATAATTAAAAGAATATATAAAGTTCTTATGTGGCCAATAAATATCCTAAAAATGTCAGTCTTGATTGTTGCATAGTTTTAATATAGTAACAGTCCAAATAGGCATTCTCTTAAAAGTACACAAAAATAAGACTTTAGTGCAATACTAATCAAAAACAAATCCAAATTAAAATCCAGATGAGAATATTTTTCTTCAGAGTAAACTAAATATGAAAGAAAATACTGATAACATTAATAAATCAACACTCTTTGTATTAAAAATTAAAATGTAATATGAAGTACAATATAAAAATAATAAGTATGAAATATTGGTACAAGAATAGACAGATTAGTAAAATAATTGCCAGAAAAGTAGTCTTCCTATTATATATGAGAATTTAATATGACCAAAGAAGGATTATGTGGAAAATTAGTCTTTAAAAATAGAAACTTTGGGGGAAAATTAAGCTAGCTTTTATGTTACACCATATGTCAAAATGAATTTCAGAGTTGAAAAATAAGACCTGCAAAACAAAATACTGGAAAATTACAAGAAAAATGTATATCAAAACTAAGAAGAAAGGAAAAAAAAATGGGTAGATTTTATAAAATAAAACTTTTTTTAAAGGAGAAATACAAATTAAGACTATTTCCAGCAAATTTGACAGTAATGAATGAGCATAAAACACAGTAGAAAATTGGTCGGGGATTAGGGGATACTTGGGAACTTAATTAGACCATGAAGAATAAATTGTGTTTGGTAGTCCAGAGACGAGGCATTCATTTATTAAGAAGTGTTATGTTTCTATTGATAATCTATGTATTAATTCACAATAGACATGTGGTTTCTTTTTCTTCTCTGTAATAAGGATATTTTTATAAACTACATTGTAATATATATAGGCAAAATACCATTGTAATGTTAACTATAATTTCGGAGTACAGCATGTGACCTATATAGTTCATTTTCTACCATAGAAGATTTTACATTTAAAAAAAAAAACTTGTGTAGCAGCACTATTTACAATAGCTAAGATCTGGAAACAGCCCAAGTGTCCATCAGTAGACGAATGGATAAAAAAGCTGTGGTACATATACACAATGGAGTACTATGCAGCTGTAAGAAAGAAAGATCTCTTATCCTTTGAGACTACATGGAGGGATCTGGAAAGTATTATCCTAAGCGAAACAAGCCAAACAGAGAAAGACAAGTATCATATGATCTCACTTATTTGTGGAATATAATAACAGTCTGAGGAATGGGGTAGTCCCAGAGACATGGAAGTGGGGTACAGACTGACAATCCCCAGGAGAGGAGGTGGTGGGGGAGAGATAAACCACAGAACTTATATGCATGTATGCATGAACAAAGGACATGGACAACAAAGCTGGGGACAGGGCAGGGAGGGAGGGGGAGGGGGGCTTGGGGCATCAGTGGGGGAAAAAGGAGAAACATCTGTAACAAATAAATTAATTAAAAAAAAAAAAAACTTGTGTATATTCAGAAAGTTATACTTTTTCTAAATGTTTCATTTCACTTTTCATTTACTTGTTTTTTTTATATGATTTAATGGCTTAGAAATAACTTATTCTTGAATCAGAATATGGTAATACTTTGTGTAGTTAAAAATAATATTACTACCAAAAAACTATTAAAAACAATAAATACAGTAAAGTTGTGGGTTACAAAATCAATATACAAAAACCTGTTGCATTTCTGTATAGTAACAACAAAATATCAGAAATGAAGAAAATCCCATTTACAATAGCAACAAAAAAATAAAATAAAATACCTAGGAATAAAATTAAGGAGGTTAAGAACCTGCACACACTGAAAACTATTTAACAGTGTTGAAAGAAATTGAAGAAGGCACAAAGAAATGGAAAGATATTCTGTGTTCCTGGATTGGAAGAATCTAAAAAATGTCTATATTACCTAAAGTAATCTACATATTTAATGCAAGCCCCGTAAATAATTCCAAGGCATTTTCCACAGAAAAAAAGAATTATCAAATTTGTATGGAACCACAAAAGACCCCAAATTGTCAATGCAATGCTAAGAAAAATGAACAAAGCCAGAGGTAGCACACACCCTGATTTCAAACTATACTACAAAGCTAATCAAGACACTATGGTTTTGGTAGAAAAACACACACAGAGACCAATTGAACAGAACTGAGAGCAATAAACCCATATTTATTTGGACAACTAATTTCTGACAAAGGAGCCAAGAATATATAAGGGAGAAAGGAATGCCTCTTCAATAAATGGTGTTGGGAAAGAATATTGAACAGCCACATGCAAAAGAATGAAACTAGACTATCTTACACTATATACAAAATTTAACTCAAAATGGATTAAAAACTAAGACCTGAAACAATAAAGTACATAGAAGAAAACACAGGCACTACAATTTTATGGACCTTGGTCTCAAAGTAGTTTTTGTGAATTTGACCCCAAAGACAAGGGAAGTAAAAGCAAAAATAAATGAAAGGACTACATCAAACTAAAAAGCTTCTGTACAGCAAAAGAAACCATCAACAAAACAGAAAGGCAACCAACCTAATAGAAGATAATCCGTAAATAATACCTCTGATAAGTTGTTAATATCCAAAAAATATAGAGAACTCACACAACTCAACAATCAGAAACATGCAAGCCACCCAGCTGGTGTGGCTCAGTGGTTGAGCATCAACTCCATACACCAAGAGGTTGCCAGTTTGATTCCTGATCAGGGCACATGCCCAGGTTTAGGGCCAAATCCCCAGTGGGGGGCATGCAGGAGGTGGCCAATCGATGTTCTCTCTCATCCATCTAAATCATTCTAAAATCAAAGAAAAATAAATTAATTAAAAAATAAAGAAAATAAGCAATCCAATTAAAACATGGGCAGAGGACCTGAATGGACACTTTTCTAAGGAAGACTTACAGGTGGTCAACAGAGATATGAAAAGATGTTTAACATCACTAGTTATTAGGGAAGTGCAAATCAATACCACAGTGAAATGCTACCACAAACTCACCAGAATGGCTATTATCAAAAAGACAAGAAATAACAAGTGGTACAGAGAATGTGAAGGAAAGGGATCCCTGTTCTTGGGAATGTAAATGAGTGTAGCCACTAGGGAACAGTCTGGAGGTTTCTCAGAAAATTAACAGAACTACCATATGACCCGGCAATTCCTCTTCTGGGTATTTACCTGAAAAGTGTGACAACAGTTATTCATACAGATATATGCACTCCCACGTTCATTGCAGCATTAGTCACAATAGCCAAGACATGGAAACAACCTAAATGTTCATTAATGGATGACTGGATAAAAAAAGATGTGGTATAGCCCTGGCTGGTGTGGGTCAGTGGTTAGAGCATCAGCCATTGAAACGAAAGGTTGCAAGTTTGATTCCCGGTCAAAGGGGCACAAAGCTGGGTTGCAGGTTCGATTCAGCTTCCTTTGGGGCATATGTGGGAGGCAAGCAATCGCTGTATTTCTCTCACATTGATGTTTCTCTCTCTCCCCCTCTCCCTCCATTCCAGTCTGTCTAAATATCAGTGGAAAAGATATCCTCAGGAGAGGAATGACAAAAAAAAAAAAAAAAAAAAAGATGTGGTACATATATATAGTGGAATACTAAGCCATAAAAAAGATGAAATATTGCCATTTGCAATACTATGGATGAATCTTGAGACTGTATGCTAAGTGAAATAAACTTGTTGGAAAAGGACAAAAACCATATGATTTTACTCATATATGGAATATAAAACAAAAAATAAATCAACTAA